GGGGGGGGGGGGGGCGCCGTGCGCCGTCGGGGCGCACCGTGGGATGGCAGGGCGGACGCGCGGACCAGGGCCGCGGCCGCCGGCGCGCCGCCAGCCAGCGCCTCGAAGCAGGCAGCCAGTGGCTCCAGGCAAGCGGGCAAGCCGGGCCCGGCGGGCTGGACCTCCTGGCCGGGAGGCCGCCGGCCGGGCGGGGACCCGGCTGCCATGGCGGTGGCGGCTTGGCGCGCGCGCCAGAGGCGCTCGATCTCCCGGCCGAACAGGTGCACACCGGGCGCGGGTCCCGGGCCGGGGGCACCGGTGATGGTGGTGATGACGGCGGCGCCGGGAGCAGCGGCGGCGCCGGGCACGGCCACATCCACGGCTGGGCTGGTGGCCGCCGGGCCGGCCCCGTCCAGCCCCAGCAGGAAGTCTACCAGGCCGCCGGGCAAGCCCAGCAGCAGGCCGGCCAGCTCTTCGGCCGAGGCCCCCGGGCCCAGGGCGCTCAGACTCCCGGCCCCGGGCAGGGCGGCCGTTTGCCGGAGGAGGCGCCCGAGCGCGGCGCGCTCGCGGGCCACCTCGGCCGCTGCCCGGTCGAGCGCGCCCTCCAGGCTGTCCAGCATGGCCAGCACCGGCTGCTCGGGGGCGGGGACCATCCTCCGGGACTGTGCGGCCCGGTCGTCGCCGTCGGACCAGGAGACGGGCATGGGGGCGGGGGAGGGGAGGGGGATGAGGGAAGACCGGCACACCAGCAGCGGCCAAGTGGCAAGGAAGCGTCAAACGTGAGAATGGTGGCTCCTGTCTTCCCGGCGGCCGCGGGGGCCCTTTTGTGGGCGTGCATGGTATGCGGGTGTGAGTGAGCGCGTGTGCGCGCGCGCGCGCGGAGGGGGCGCCGGGCCTCGGTTGGGGGGAGACCTCGCTCCCCAGGCCGGGTTGCCGCCCTCTCGCGCCGGTCTCGCCCGAAGGCCGGGCTGCCCCCGGCCGGCGGGATCTCTCTCTCCCTCTCTCTCTCTCTCCCTGCCGCGCGGCCGGGGGACGCGCTCATGTCTCCGTTGGCAGCTGGGCCTGGGCTCGGGCCAGGAACTGGCCCAGCGGCAGGAAGCACTGCGGCCAGGCGGCCCGGATGGCGAGGTCCGGGTGGGCGCAGGCGCCGGCGGCCGCCAGCCCGGCGCACCGGCGCACGCACCGCTCCAGTGCGCCGAGCTCCTCGGCCAGGCCCCCGGGCAGCAGCCCGGCATACTGGATCTTGTGCCGGCAGTCGGTCCAGGCACAGGCGCGGATCTCGCTGCAGGCGGCCAGCTGGCAGGGGATGGCCACCCCCGGGGAGGGGCCCCCGGGCCCGGGGACATCGGCCTCCCGGGCCGGCAGCACCGCTCGCGCGTCGAACACATGGACCGCCTCATGGCGCAGGGCCTCCAGCACGTCGGCTCGGGTGCGCAGGTGCCCGGGCCGGAGCTCGATGCGCACGTGCAGCCGGGCCCCGGCCGCACCGCCCGGCGAATGGGGCCCCAGCGCGAAGGTGGAAAGGGCCCGCGCGTGGGTGGCCGAAGCGAAGCCGGCGGCCGGGGGCTCCGTCGTGGCGCCCTCCTCGCGGCCCGGCGGCCGGCAGCTCAGGCTGATGCCCACATCGGGCAGGATGCCCTGCGGCTGGTGGAGGAAGGCGGCCAGGTGCGAGTCGTGGACCAGGAGCCCGGCCAGCGCGGCGTCCGGCCCGGGGGGCGCCCCGGCGGGGGGGGCCTGTTCGAATTCCCGGAACAGCTGGCGCAGGTGCTCCTCGCACGCCTCGGGGGTCATCTGCCGAGAGGGCCCTGTGTAGGCTGCGGGCCTGCTCGCGCGCGCGGCAGTGGGAGAGAGGTGGAGAGGGAGAGAGGTGGAGAGGGGCGCGGTGGAGAGGGAGAGAGGTGGAGAGGGGCGAGGGGTGAGGGCCAGGGGCACGGATCGGGTGTGGGGCATGACGAAGGGCAAGAGGTTTGTTTGGTGCGCTGTCGCACATGTGTGCCGAGTCCCCCCCCCCCCCCCTCTCGCCCCTCTCCAGGACGAGAGGATGCGTGCACGGAGGCGGGAGCGGCCCCGGGCGGCCAGTTGTGGGTGTGGCTGGGCCTGCATCGTTGGCACCATTCATCACCGTATATCTGACGGCATCACGCGACGCATCACGCGACGCATCACCCGATGTCGGGCGTTGTGGGTTTCGCACGGGCCCAAGGCCGGCGCCAGATTCGCCCGGTCCGCCCGGTCCGCCCGGCCCTCATGAAGACAGGGCCGAGAGGGGACGCGCGGTCGTGCCCAGGCGCGGCGACGGGGACCACCGGCGCGGGGTGGAACGCGTTGGCGCGGCGACATGGCCTCTCGGCCCGTGGGACCTCCCTTCCCCGGGCGCTCGAGAAGCAACCGCCCCCGGCGCAGGGGGCGGTTTCCGAAGCCCCCCGCTCTCGGGCATTATGGGGGCTCCCCCTGCGCGAAGAGCAGGCGGCCCTGCCTGGAAATTCAGGGTGCGGGGCAGGGAGACGGGCGCTTCTCGGTG